TCCCCATGCTCACTTCCCCCCCCCCCTGTGCCAACTCCTAGCCCTGTAGGTGAACTCTGCAAAAAAATCGATAAAAATCGGTAAAATCGACATCGATCGATAACGAAAAGTGGACTGTGACACCAGCCGGGGCCCGAAGTGTATGTGTGCCAAGTTTGGTCCGGATACGGCGGAGCCGGGTAAGCCAGCTAGTAAATGTTATAATTCCGAAGGAGCGAAGGGAAAGGTTCCAGCGAAAATACCTCCGACGGAGCAAAATCTCACAAATGGTTGCCTCACATTCACGCAGCCTCTGCGTAAATTTTTATCGCCCAAATGGTTCTTTGTGAATAGATTGCCGTAATTTTCTCTCCTTAAAAGAACTTTGTCCGTTTTGTCGGTCGGGTTGCTGTAAGTCACCCCATATTATGGTCCTATGTCTATCAAGAAAGCGCCCAGACAAATTCCGACTTCCATTTTTTTTGTTTTTTCCGGGCCTTTTCGTGGCTTATGCTATCGAATATAAAATGAAGTTTCAATTACGGGAACTAAATACAAGAAGTTGTGCTGCACAAACTCAATTCAAAATTATCTCTCCTAACCCAAATTTGTGGTTTTTGCTAGGAAATGGATCACCTTATCATCCAGCCATGATGTTTTCTTCCGAGTCTGAGATCGAAAGGGTTAGTGACTAGCTTCGAAGACGGCAGGACAGGCCTGGAAGATTATCCTAGAATTGCAATCGAAAAATCGACGTGGTATATTACGTTGTAACATAAGTCTCGAGACACTCTAACTTCTTACGGCGATAAGTCATGCAGTTTAGATTTCTCCAAGGCACCATTCGGTAGAGCAAAGCAAACTTTACAAAATAATCGGCAAAAATTTCCAGCTTCGAACCTATTTTATGATTCTTCCAAAATGTGAGTCGTACTGAAGGCTCACAAAATCGAAATTCGTGTCTTTCAAAAAACCCTACGAATCTCCAACTTGCTCACAAAACTGCACACTACATCAGACACTCATATGTACTATTATTGTTTTTCCCCATTTAGAAATCGAAGAAACGAAAATTTTTATGTTCATACAAAAACGAAGCTATGCTGTTTCCACTCATGTACTTGTATACTACATGCCCTTAGGAGTAATTTAGAAAAAGGGGGCGTGGCCGACGCCATGCCCCCTTATTCTAGATTTTAGGGTTCATGGGTACGCAAAAATCCTGAAAAGCACCCCAAAAATTTTTTTGGAGTGCGTGGCTTTTTGCCGCCTACGCCCCTCCCCTCAGACGGAATTCTGGGACCGCCACTGCTCATATCGTAAGCCAACAGTAATCTTACAAAAAAGCCCTTATCACGCAACTTCAGCACTGTTTGTTTTCGTGATCACTATGTCGAATAACCCCCTATGCCAAATTTCAACCAAATCTATCAAATTTCGTAATTTTTCCCTTATATCATATACTACCTACAGTAAACCTACGGCGACGTCAGAAATTGGCAGAAGTTCTGCCGCGGAGCAGCGGCTGCTCCTGTAGCGTGAAATTTATGCATACTGGTTTAGGGGCTGAACTGGATCAGTATTGCGTCCTTTCTTGGCGTCTCCAGGTTTGAACTACTGTTAATACCTTTCAGCAGTAGTTCCCAAGGAAGGTACCAAAAGGAATGGAAGAAAATAGAGTAGTATTCATGGTAAAATGCTAGGAGCTAGGTATTAAGCAAAGAATATTGACTACGACTGTCTTGGTTGATGTCTTTTCATGACGGCGAAATTTGGATATTTTTCCCGACATGATGTTCTTGATTGACACTGGTCCATGCATTTCGCACCTCAGACAGGTACCTATACAGGTATTAAGAAGAGTAGACCACTCCCGAGGCTCTTCAGTAGGGGAGTGGCTTGAATGGATGAATGTTGCTGTATTTATACCTCAAGGTTTATATACCATAACAAAATAATGATCCACGATCTGAGACATAAAATTCAAGTTTTTGAATTATGCACGTTATAAAATGTCTAGAGTTTTTGAATGAATGAAGTTCCGGATACTTAAGGAAAATACATTTATTGAAAGTAAGACATTTTATAAATGCATTTGTAATAATATCAGCACTATAATCAAGTGCATAAAGTTTATTTATTAGAAGCAATAATCTTTGTTCAAACCTGTCAAAATTTGTGTAAGTTCTGTAAATTCTTAAGATCTCAAATTCTTAAATTCTTAAAATTCTCAAATTTTCTAAGTTTACTGGTGAGCCTCGTTACGACTGCCAGTCCATATTGTAGAGCTAGCTTTGCTCTATGGAATGATATATCAGATCCTATATGAAATAAGACCTCGGGGCCTCGGGCAGAGTTTACGCGATTTTGTCGCCGCAATTTGCTTAACAAGACAAACCGTTACGAGCTCACTGTATGCCGATCTTCTTGTATTTCGGTTGTGACAATTAGTCACGATAAGTCGTGTTGGAAAACTATCACAATCGAAATGCAAGAAGATCGGCATGCAATGATATTGTTCAGCTGTCTTGTCGCGATGAATCGCGACGATGAAATCGCGTGAACTTTACCCGAGGCCTAGGGGAGATACATGAGTTTTGATGCAGGACTTATATTTCCACCTAATAGAAGCAACCTTCAGAGACTTCTGCTCGAAACGTTATTGTGAAGCGCATTATCTTATTTCGTGAAGCTAATAATCAAGGTTAGATTTAAGATGCCCATTGGTACTTGAAATACGGCAGAACCAACTAAGCATGTTGTTGATCAATGAAATTGCTGGGAGCACTCTTTAGTTTTCTTTTTGCATTTGTTATTTGTCATTTTTCCTACATGTCTCAAAGAATCTCTTGTCACCAAGTTTAATAGTTATTCAATGGGCCATATTTAACCGGATAAGTGATCTAATGACGTTTGAGAAAGAGGAACGTAATGAAAACTACGAGGAACTTGCGCCATTTTCGTCAATTCGCCACGCAGTTCCTCGTTTGCTCTTCGCGACTACTGTTTCAAAATAAACTTTGTTAGCTTACAAGGGAATGGTCAGAAGTCGAAGTGGCCAAACCAAACAAGCTGTATATCATTCGATGCAGTATAAAACGCTGACTTCGAATCCGTCTTCCTTATCTGCTTCCCGCTTCTGTGGACGAAGCTACAAGCGGTTTTATTGTGAAAAAATCATACATAAAAACAGCGAAATTGAGCACATTGTTGCACCTTTAGCTCGACTTCTGGCTTTAAAAGTTTTAAGTAAGCTAGCTGCATGTTTTGGCCCAGCATTGAGGCGAACGAGGCTCTGTACGGTTAAATTTTGAATTTCACTTATGATTTCTAAGCAAAATAATGGTCTTTAATGGCTTATAACTTCGTCCAGAAAAGCGACAAGCAGATAAAGAAGGCAGATTTAGAGTCAGCGCTTCATGCTGCATCTAATGGTATGCAGCTTGCCTGGAATGGCCACTTCGATTTCTGACCATTTCCTTGTTAGAAAACATTCATTGACGTCTGAAAGGGGTAGATAAGAATAATAGAGGAAAGGATTCAGCTATTTCCTTCAAGATAAAATTACAGATTATTGTTGTTGTAGGTAAATCTTTTTCTACGTGTTAAAATGACATTTTGAAATAGGGATGTCCGCTATTGTGCAGGTAATCCCTGTTCCAACATTCTGTCTGTAGGCATTATCTAGACTAAGTGGTACCCGGCTCTCCCGTCACTTTTGGTAATATTTTCGTTATCAGCATGCTCATTCATCCCTGTGCTAACTCACAGCCTCATAGATGAAACTTCGCAAAAAATCGGTAAAGTCAATAATGACGATCAATGATGGAAAATGGCCTGCAACCAGGGTAAAGCGGGGGGTGCGGCACACGAACGTCGGATACGACCCCCCCCCCCTTGGGCTGGACCCTCGCACGACCCCCCCTTCTTCCTCCCCCCCCCCCCCGCTCTTGAACTTCACAGCTTCACAACGTGCTTTTTGCGACTTACAACAAATTTGTACGAATCTTTATTTCAGAAGAATCAGCAAGAGAAAGGAACCGCGAAAAAAGTTTAAAACTGAAATTCTGCTAATTATTCAGGTCGGTGATTGAGATGCTGAGCACGGAAGAGATCAATCCACTCTGTATCACACTATTGGAGGAGAGAGAACAGGGCAATCAAAGCGTCCTTACGAGAAAAGATACACTCACTGAAAAAAACATACACCCCGCACTTTACCTATTCGTCACTCAGCTGGAGCACTGTTTTGGCAAAATGTTCATCAATTACGCGCACTTCCAACTTGAACAAAGCAGCGCGGATAAGCTCGGTCTAAAACATCAAAGTAACGAATGTGAAGTTTTAAAGTATAGAAACCAACCGATGTTGTATGCTAGATGTTTGGAAGACAGGAAGTGACTTATGTGGAACATATGTGTTCGTGTCTCCATCAACATCGTGGTACCTGAAGCAAAATCATAAAAAGTTACCCTGAAATAGAAGAAAAAATGATCTATGGTAACTTTATCACCAAGTTTCCATTTTGTTCTAAGATGCGATAATCATGGAACTGCAAAAAAACGAAAAAGGTAACTGACGAAACAAAATGATTCTACGACATCAACTAAAAGCATTTCTTACCGGCCATAAAGGCGGCAGAATTGAACGAGGACCTCCGAGATGTATTGTGACACAAAGGAAGCAAACTGATCAAGAACTCGTTCGGTACAGGTCAATGCACAGATCTAGAAGATAGTATTTCAGATCAAAGGCTAAAACTATTTTTCAAATCAAAGGCATAAATTGACATTACGCAAATAATTACTGAAAGCGTTGAGCCTCCGAGCTTCTTCCCACTCAAGGACTGTTGTCGAACGCGACGACGCTTAGCCGCATCTTTCGACTGATTTGAAGAGTTGATTGGACTCTGAAGAAAAAAGACGACGGATACTAGCGGTAGCAAATTGTAAAAAATGTAGATGTCTTCAAAGATACCTTTTGACTAGAGTAACACTCATACAGAATACTAAGACAAGCTTTCAGCAATGGGATTGCAGAAGCATATTCGTTCTCATATTGTGTGACCTGCAATATAGCAAAACCTGGTCATACAAACAAAGAGGAAAATTACTACATACCTGATTAGCTCTCCAGCAAGAAGCAGTACATTTCCCACCAACGACTCGTCAAGCGTTTGATACTCCGCCACCTAAATAAAAGAATAATGAATGATAGACCTAAGTTATTTTAAGAACTGACGATGTCCGTGCATTTGCTCATTGTTTCAGCAAGAACTGACGAATCTGGCGACATGAAAGACGTTTTGCGATCAACTTCAGAGTAAAAGCGGCATTCTGACAAAGTGTGATCTGAAATGTCAACATGATAAATAACCAAAAAATTGTTTTGTTGAGCATGCGATTCACCCATGCATCCGGCCTCACTGGTGGCGACGAAAGATCTTACTCCTCACAGTACCCGATTTCTTAGGCAGATCGCTCGAAAACGCCCAAAAGCGTTCGAATTTCGTTAAACTCTCTCACACATGTTCCGCACTAGCTTGAAAGCGCCAGCATGCTAGCGCGAAACTGTGAGGAGAGATGAGATATGTGAAAAGAATCAAAGAAATTCGAGCGCTTTTGGGGGTCTGAGCGAAGTCTGTGCGGTGCCTCATGGTTGGTAAAAGATGGGCGTAGGGAGGAGAGTAGCCAAGCGCTTACAGAGACTTCAAATTCACTTTCTCGGTCAGCTGTGAGCAGCTGCTGTGTCGCTAATAAGACAATACGGCGCTATTCGGCTATCCGGGCCCCAAAATTTTTTGGTCATTGATTTCACTCACACTTGGTCCAGGGGGGTTATCTGACATGCTGATCACGAATATCACATTTTCTCCGCAGGAAACCGCCTTCCTGAGAAGTTACCGGTAGGTAAACGGTAGGGATCAAAATCACAAATCGGCAAATGTATCTCCCCCTGTGCTTTGCTTAGGCAAAAGCCCAGCAGGGTGTTTAGCGCGATGCGGTGGTCGTGTGTGCAAAGCTTCACAATCGTCCGAATCGTCGTACACCCGTTTCAGGCAGAACTATGCTTTACACCCGTTACCGTGTAGCTACCGTGACCCGAGAAAATGACGCTATGGTTCAAGACCAATGTGATATTTGGCATGAGCGGGCCGAATAACCCCTGTAGGCCAAGTTTGAGCGAAATCCATGCCAAAAATTTTTTGGGGCCCTGATAGCCGAATAGCGCCGACAATACATATGAAGCAAGTATGCAACTACACTACATATAGGCTGCTGCATGACAAACGCGCAATATCTTCGGGCGCGAACGCGGTTTTATTAGCCGCAGAGCGCATGAGGTGCGGGATCCACAACGCTGAGGATACGCGCGCGTCGCGTTCGCGCTTGCTCAACTAATATCGCCATTGCGCCTTCGTCATGCAGCAGCCTTTACTTATGGGCATCATCGAACTTCCAGAGTAAAAAAAAAGAAAAAGAAAAGAAAGAAAAGCTGAGACTGCCATATGTACATAAGCTGCACGATGATAAAGGTAACAAAAATATCAGCAAAACAGAAATCAACCTACTTTGAGGATCAACAGGCATGAAAGAAGTTGCAATGACTGGACATCCATGGTCTGAAAGCAGCACAATAACATGACGACAGATTCGATCTCCATACATTCAAGGTTTATCATCAAATGGGAACTCAAATGGTCCGTGCATACGAACAAAATCAATTGTGATTAACAAAAACACACTTTATATGGAGCAAAGAATTTGGAACAAAGGAGGATTGAGTTAAACTGTATTTTTGACCAGCTGTGAACATCCCACATCTGACTAGTGAACTTGCAAATCTTTGACAAGAAGTCTGCATCGAGTCTCGTGCGTTTTTGTATCACTAAAAGAAGCACCCAGAGATAATACAACAAGCGTATGTAGTTCGAGGACACCCGAGCAGCTAAATCTGGCAGGGTAAGAGTTGCAGCTTCTCTCAACTTTTTTACTCGTCTTCCTTTTTTCCGAACGTATTAAACTACAACCAAACCGTGGATTTCTGAATCCGACAAATGCAATGCTAAATGATTTACCGTTTCAAACTAAGAAAAGTGTTGTTTTGTATTTCGCGTAGCGTTGGGCGCGAAGCCAAGCACGCCGAGGTCAGGGGGCGGAGCTTTGCTCACAAGGCGTGCTTGGCGTCGTTATTGCCATTCCGGTTCTACGTCAACCTAGGAAGCAGTCGACACTTCTACTGTTCCAGTTATTCTTGATATCTGATATTCATTCGATCATGGAGGGGCATGACCCGTCTACTGCCCCGGATCCGACCAGCGAGGTCGTGCAGATGACGCGTGACCAGTATGAGCTATTGATCAACCAATTGGCAGCAGCTACCTCATCTCCCGTTACGGCACCCGAAGCATCAGGACCCAGCCCGAGCAGCTCTTCAAGACCGTCGTTCACGAAACCCGGCCTGGCATGGCAGTTCGAGTTCAATACAAAAGTCATAGAGGCCCTGACTCCCATCGTTGCATTCGCTCCCGAAGAAGAAGGAATCAGAGCCAATCTACTGAAAGCTATCACTCTTCTCACACAACGGAATGAATTATTAGCTGTGGCCGACACGGATCCAGAAGTCTTTGACTTCTACGACCAGCACTCGAAAGCCGAAGCGATGCAGGTCAGCAACCCGATATTAGCGGCCTTTATACGCGAGAAAAAGAAGAAGGACGACAAAAAGCCAGCCACGACCCGCTCGACTATGTGGAGTGAGTTACTTGTTACTTCTGGGACATTGATTCCGAATGTTTCTTGTGTATCTGTGGTTGATAGGATTCCGAATGTTTCTTGTGTATCTGCTATTGATACTTCGCTTGTTCAGGGGCTCGGCCGTACAGGCCCTTTCGCTTTGGAGGGGCGGCACGGGCCCCCGCCCCTCAAAATTTCCAGATGCCCTTCCAACACGGTCGCCCTCTCCCTCCCCGAGCGCCACACCCGCAGGAAGGTCGCCCAAGAGAAATGTGCTACAATTGTGGACGATATGGACACTTCGCCAGAGAATGCAGAAAGGAGAATCATGCACAACAGTGAGTTCAGAGCTGGATTGATTCATAATTGCTTGGACTTTTGGTTCGGTCTCAGCCCCTCGCCGTTCGTTAGGGTGTTACTGTGTGAAGGTTACTCCCCGGAATTCTTGTACGAGCCCACCTTAGGCGTTGTTCGAAACAATTGCATTCAGCTCGAGTGCATGAGAGGTTTGTGGACTCCGAATTAGTCCAACTACTTCGTACCGGGGCCATAGTTAGGGTAGAGGAAGGGGAGAGAATTAGAATTAACCCGCTATCCGTAGCAGAGGGGAGGAAGTTGAGACTCATTCTGAATCTTTTGGAGCTCAACAGGGGGGTAATCAAGAACAAAATCAAATTCGAAGACCTTACAAAAGTGGCCCCCTTTTTGCCGGATAACGGGTTCATGGCGTCGTTCGATCTTAAGTCCGGGTATCATCATGTTCGTATCAATCCTGACTTCCACAAATTTTTCGGGTTTACTTGGAAAAATAGGTACTATAAGTTCGTCGTGCTCCCTTTCGGTTTAGCCTCAACTCCGATGGTATTCACAAAATTGATGAGACCACTTTTGGGGAAATGGAGGGCTAGTGGCATTAACGTTGCCCTGTATCTTGATGACGGCCTCTTATGGTCCAATTCCGCACACAGGTGCGAAGACGCAGTGCAGACTGTGAGAGCCGACCTGGCCAGGGCCGGTTTCTCTTTAGCCGAGGAAAAGTGTTCCTGGACTCCACGCCAGAGGCTGACGTGGCTGGGGCACGACATTGACCTGGTATCCATGACCCTCAACGTCACTAGCGAGAGAAGGAAGAGAGCGAGAGCGTTGGCTGAGAGGCTTTTAGCGGCGAGGGGCCCATCTCTATTAGATAGATTGAAATGGCAAGGCACAGTGGCCTCCATGCATCTAGTGATTCCTTCAGGTAAGATGAGGATGTGGAAAGCGGTGGTTTCCCAGGTGGCGCAGCGGGAAAAAGAGGGCACTGCTCTGTCTTTCCGATGGCCCCTTTCCACTCAGGAAAAATCTGAAATTTAAGGTGGGTTAAACTTCGATTTGGATTTCGAAGGCGCGCCTATTTCCAATGTTTTGCAGCTTTCTGACGCCTTGAGAGCCTTTTCGGACGCTTCAGAATTCGGGGTAGGCGCGGTTTTGCATTTAAGCATGGGGGTAAAAATAAAATCTTCCGGAAATTTGCCGCCCGAGCTAGTAGGGTCTTCTAGCACTGCTAGAGAACTTTACGCCATCTTGTTTGGACTGAGGTCGTTTCGCGAACACATCTTTAGGGAGCAGCTAGTGTGGCACTGCGATAATCAGGCAACAGTCGCTATTCTCAAAAAGGGTACTACAAGACCACACTTACAAAACTTGGCCAAAGAAATATGGGATTTTAGTGCGCAGTTCCAGCTCACAGTCGAGTTTTCTTGGATTTTTCGCGCATATAATGAGGAAGCAGACTCGGCCTCTCGCTTGCTTGATCTCGATGATTGGAGCATTAGCGACGAAATTTGCTCTCAGGTGCAGAAAGGCTGGGGGCGTTGCAACATTGACCTATTCGCTAGCCTATCTAGCAGGAAATGTCCCTCTTTCATTTCCAGGGAAGCCTGCTCCGAAGCAGTGGCGGTGGACGCCTTCTCAGCCGCAGCAACAATGTGGTGGAGAAACAGTTTCTTATGGTTGGTTCCCCCTCCAAGTCTTATAGCGAAAACATTGATTTGGGCGAGACGGCACGGTAGTTGGGGTATCTTGGGATTTCCAATTTGTTCTAACCTTTTTTTCGCATATTTGCGTGAAGGTGACTCTTGGATCCGCGAGATCAAAGATCTGAAGATTTTTCCGGCCGGAAGTCCAGTCCTGGTAGGAAACTCTCCCTTTTTTACTTTCGGTGGTAAATCGCTCAATTTTGACTTTGCCTTTGCGCTCCTCCGTTTTGACGACCCCCCTCGCGCTTTAACTTTTTCCGGCGTTTTCGTTACTGCGAAATACAAAACTGAGGTTTTGCCGCAGTTACGGGAGGCAAAAGTGTTGTTTTGTATTTCGCGTAGCGTTGGGCGCGAAGCCAAGCACGCTGAGGTCAGGGGGCGGAGCTTTCTCACAAGGCGTGCTTGGCGTCGTTATTGCCATTCCGGTTCTACGTCAACCTAGGACCCACCCGCCCGCCCTGAGGCCAAAATCCATATGATTCTAACGGTCATTAACGTAGTCCCCCCTTTTTTTTCTCTGTTTTTCCCGCGGTTAATATTATAAGGAGCCAGTTTTTCGCAGCGAGGCGATTGAAACTTTTGCAGGGAAATCAGAAACATTGTTGTTTTCGTCAGGTAGTAAAGTCCTTATCCTGTGCAGCGGTTCAGAAAGAGGGCTTTGTGAAATCGCTTTACTCCTCTCTTTTCTTTCAGAGGCGCTCGCGGACGGCAAAAGGAAAAAGGCGGTAGAGACAGCGGAGATAGCTCTTGGGGCAGGTCTTAGTAAAGTGGCGGAATTGATCGACCTTGTTTCGATAAGGCGCTGGCAGATGGCACTAGAAAAATCTACCGGAGAGTTCGAAGGAGTTTTCTACAGTTCATTGGGAAATTTCGTGCCCCATTCGCAGCACTACATAAGCTGAGGAACGTTTTTATAGCACATTTAATAGAGCGCGGAAAAGTGCGAGCGCTTGGCTACCATGTAGCAGCTTTAACCCACTTTTTTGGGCCGCTCCCCCAAGACGACGAGGACATCCTGAGAGCGCTCCTTCGTGCTGCGAAGAAGGATTTCCCACCCGTGGTTCACAGGAGGAAAGCCAGTCAAGGGGACGTGGACGCGATTATTAGCTTCGCCCTCCAGCGAAAAACGCTTCAGGACATTAAAGGAGCCGCAGTGGTCCTACTTTTATTCAAAGCTTTTCTGCGCGTAGGTGAGGTGTGCAGGCTCCGGGTAGCGGATATTCGTCATAGGGGGGATAACATTTGGTGGCTAACCATTCGTAAATCGAAAACCGACCAAGAAGGAAAAGGAGTCACCATCGCTTTCCGGCTAGAGGGCCAAGCTCTGATACTTTGGAGAGTATTTGAGAATTTCCTCCCCCGAACCCGGAACATTTCATTTTCAGCAAGGAAGCCAATGGTCCGCCACCGAAGACTGATGCCATATCTCGCAGGATCAAGAAACTACTGCATGAAGCCGGATTACGAAGCAGAAGGCTCACCCCACACTCGTTCCGCGGAGGAGCCGCCACAGAAGCCATACGCGCAGGAAAGCATCCCGAGAACGTCATGCGATCAGGCAGATGGAAGACGACAGAAGCTTTCCAAGCTTACATCGATCCAACGCCCCTGTAAACTTCATTCAACAACACATCCCGCTGCCGAGCTGAGCGTTTCTTTACATGTTTTGGTCATATCTTTCATCTCATTTTGTTAGCTGCCTTGATTTTAACAGTAATTTCATCTCGCCTTTTGTTTCGGATGCATAGCAGTAGCTGTCCCTTGGCTCAACCCGGTCAATCTTATTCATGTCGCTAGGTTCTGTTAGCTGCCTTGATTATAGCGGTAATTTTCGTTGTTTTCGTTGTTTTGTTGAGATGGTCGTGAATCCACACGAGTGCCTTCATAGATTTTCTTGCATCTATTCGAGTTACA